TATTCGCAGTATTAATTTCTGAAGAGAACTACAGGTACATATTTAGTTTTAGGTTTAATTTCTTTGGGACTCAGTGTCGACAAAATGATTTTCTCAAATCTGAAATTAGTTTGCGATCGCGAATCGGGCTACATAAAATTCTCGAGTTGCTGGTCGATACCAGAAAAAAAAAACCTCGAGTTCAAAGGGTTGAAATTGAATCCATCTGCGATCTCTGCTTCTTAGACGAATTTATCATTATTCAAATTCATTATTATCAAAAATCTCGATGCCAGACGCGAAACACATCCCATCTACTTTCTATGCAACCCAACGACGCTAATTTCGATTTTTATCCGGGGAAATTGGAAATTACTGGCGAAGCGGTTGAATGGTGTCACGTAGCGATCCGAACGATCCTCGGGAGCGGCAGTTTTCCGCGCGCGAGTAAAATTCCGTGAATTCATTGAAACTCCCGCTGAGTAGAAAAGAAACTCGTTACGGGCGTAATTATGCTCGCGCCCCCGAGACGACCTCGCCGCGGTCCGATGCGTGCGCGCCACGACGCTTGGTCCCTTTCCTCTGCCGCGTAAACGCTCCAGGAGTCGCGGTCCGTGCGGTTAAGGCGGTATCGATGTCAAGATTGTGCCGCAGCGGCCGTCCCTGAAGAGCGTCATGGACGCCCGTGACATTGTCGCCGTACCGCGCCAGGACCTTCGCGTTCGACCATAGAAAACTTCTGCACAGCGTTTCTCCCTGTGAGCATTCTACATCCAACGACTCCGCAGAAATGCCTTACCCTTGGTCTGGGTTGGGTCTATTTATATTCGACATTTATATTTTATCCAAAGAATATAAATGTGGAATTTTATTGGCATTTAAATGCATTATGACTTGAATCCTATTTTTAATTTGTATAATATCTTGGATGTTCCAAACTTTGGAGCAGACTTGGTATTTCAGCAGATGTATCTTAACTATTGGTAGAATTAGTGTCGTTCCACATATAGAAAATGTATACTATATCTATAACTATGCCTTTTCATCTATGATACTCTTGTGAAATATGCAATTTTATATAAGTCACATAATTCTTTTTCTGGTATTCATCTGAATTAAAAATTCTAATTCTAATTCTAATATAATGTATTATAACCTACATAGTAATATCGATAAGTACACATTTCAATTTTTGTGTTTACCAACCTAATTGCAATTGTTGCATTAAGTAATGTAAGATATATTATTATATTATTATATGCGTATAAGATTGTTCTCCCTCCAAAGAGGGAGTCATTTTTAGTTCTTGACGAGCATTCTTCCAACCAATGTTTATTTGGGATAACATGTGCTACCCGATGGCCCTTCAGTCGATGCTCGACGGTCGATAGACTGTTTCGTGCTATTTTTACACGTTATTGTTCACTTTGAGCGATTCTTCGCCGTGGCGGATAGCAGTTCCAGATAATGGCTGCCACGTTGGTGTTTCGTCTCGTACTATTTTCAAGTTATTGCGAGGGTTGCGCGGTGAATGAACACGTGGTTGCGAGTTTGGAAGTATTTATTTTCACCGACGTCTAATGTCTATTTTAATCTGCGAGTTCTCTCGTAGTTTCACACCGACGTTGGTAGAGAATTCTTTTAAGAAGACATTCGTAGTAGCTGCCTTTTAATATATTTACTGTTTCATACGGTAAAATTAATATCCATCCACGATTTGGCACGATTAACTACTTTTCAGTAAGAAAAAACAATATATTTAACCACATTTCGGTTAGCTGTTATTATTGTTATTCAAGTTTAGATTAATAGCTTGTTTTATAGTAATTATAATTTATTGTTATTTCAGAGTGAGAAAGCTTTATTAAAATTTTTCGTTTCTGATTCCATCTTAGTGTAATATACTTATTAAGGGATGATAAATCTGAAGAAAATATTGGGGATGGAAGAATTGACACTTAACTACTAACAAAATGATTTCGTGAATTTGCATTATTATATTCCTCAAGAGAAATTCATAGTCTCATCCAGTGAAATAGCTATATTTATCATAATGCGTATTATGGAAAATATTCTACTTCGAAGTAAAGTGACGTTGAAGCAAAACGTCGCACGGTTCGATAAGTAGCAAAAAACAAATGTCTGAAGTGAATGAAAGGATTCAAGATCGGATCAAAAAAGATCCTGGCGAGATTGAGGTAACTCAAAGTTATGAACTGAGATACTTTTTGTCAAACTTGTCACACTCGTTCTAGAGACGAATCGGTCGCTTTATTCCCGTGGCAAAAAGCTATTCCGGTTGCTTATGTAGCCAGTCGCATCGATCATTCTGGGCGATGACCAGGTGTCTCCTTTCGGTCTGCGCAATTCTTCATTTCTAGTAATATTTTTGGATCTTCGCTACTACGTCAATGCCAGTCATTCTCTCTTCAACAATTAAATACCTAACAATAGAATCCTTGTGGATCCTTATTCGCTCAGGAACATAATTGTCCTTCCTCCAAGGTCCTACAAGATATCACATTTGGGTATAAATATGTATATGAATAAGCTTATACATGTATACATTTATACATCAAAATATTTATACAAACACACACGTGGAAACATCAAACCTAGCATTTAATTTAATTTTTCTTCAATAAACATGGAGAGTACATTTATGGGACTGACTGTTGCATAAAGAATCATATAAAGGACCTCGATCCTCCAGAATCCGGACTGTTTATCTCGCACTTGCTAATACACGACAGCCCTCGTATCACCCAAATTAAAATCAGATTAAGGATCCAAGAGGTATCAAACGCAATTCTCTCGATTTCCGTCTATAATTGATTGATTCTCGGAAGAGGTTCGCAAGTTTCCCATGCCAGTTTCCGATTTGAAATCGCCTGTTGATTTACGACTGCGTTGCACGGCGTCGATAGACGCAATTAAAAAGTCGCTAATGAACGTGGAAACGCGACGGAGCGCCGGAGAAGGGGAACGCAAAGGCGATGGCATGCGATATACAGAGAAGCCACTGGCCGGTGTGTCGCGTTCGTTGGTACTCCTTCGAAGGAGAGAGTGAAACTGAATGAAAGGGAGCTTGGAGAAAGAGAGAAAGGGTGAGAAAGGATGAAGCCCGCGAAGGATACGCGGGAAGGAGAAAGGTGGTCGTCGAGCGAGACGGTTGCCAAAGAAGCCACGTAGCCGAAGAAGGAAAGGGAGAGGAGTGGTTCACCTGCATTGCTAGCATTGCGCCGGCTCAAGGCCAGAGAGTCTGCGAGACCGAGGACCAGACCGGGTCGGGACCTCCTTCCTTCCAGTTTCCTGCACCCTGCTCTCTCTCTCTCTCTCTCTCTCTCTCTCTCTCTCTCTCTCTCTCTTCCTCTTTGGTCTTCATCGTTCGTCCTTTTCTCCTCAACGCATCCTACCGCTTCCATGGCTGCTCCTTTTTCGTACCACGCGGTGCTTCCACGGCTGTCTGTTGTTCTTCGAGTACAGACAATTGCGTCATGCGAAGCACTGCTCTGCCACGACGCTGTCTGAGGCGCGCAGAGCCTAAGCAGGAATTATCGACGATCCAGAGAGGCCTGTCGTGGTCGTTCGTAGGACTTTCGGTTGTAAATTTGCTGCAGGGAGTACTTCGTGCTGGGGTTTGATAGAAGTATACGCGGCGAAGGCTAGGTTCTTCCAGTTTAACGATGGGATTGAAGAAATGATCGCTCGATAGTCCGGTGGACGTTGAACCTTTAAGCTTGCTGCTCCACCGTGGCACGGGTTAGGTATCTCGCTGTTGTTTTTCTTAGCTTCTTCGTTAGGTAAATGTCTAGAGAGAACGTTGTTAAAACATTGTTGACCGGTCACGAGAAAACTCGTGTCTACACTTGCATTATCTATTTCAATTTATGAAACCCTAGGCGATATAGACTATCGCAAAAGCTTTGCTCGTCACGTTTAGTCCTGTCGGTTTTTCATTTCAATTTGTTATCTTGGTAAAATATAAATAAAGTTTTTCGGAGTTTATTTGAACTGTTTTAATTTCATATTCAGTTACGAAATTGCCGGTCAACAATGTGTTAACAACGCTGAGGTTAGAGACTGGAGTTGAATTGGGGGTTCAGGTATATGACCTCGATGGATTTGGAGAACCAAGGCTGGCGATCGCAGCGTCGAGTCTCCTGGCTTTGTTTTCGATGGAGTGATTGTCGTGCCTCAGAAATTTCTGCGCTCCTTGCAACAAAAATGATTTAACAATGATTAAGAAATTATGATTCAAGAATTTGAATGGATGATGAAAGTCTTTGGATGAAAAGTCATCCTACATGAAAGATTAAGTACACCCACAATAGAGATCAGATTTGTGTCATGAGCATTGCAAACATGTACGATTATTTTCTTATGCGACGACATTAAAAATCTCACACTATGCATGAAGTTTACAGCGAAAAACTCTGACTCCAAGCAAAGTGAAAAGTTCAGTTTTAAATAATTCGTTGTTTGACATACTATTGGGTTGTCCAGAAAGTTCGTGCCAATTTTTAAGAAAAATTCAAGGACACATTTGAATGTTTATATACAGCCAGTCTCATAAATATTCGTACTCTTTATGTCACTTGTATATATACTAAATCAAAAATTTGTTTGTATATTTATGGAGCTGACTGTATATTTATCGAGTTACATAGGTACCATTTTGCTCCACAACCTTTCCACCTGTTAAAATAACACATGTTATTTGTTTCCATCCATTCCGATGAATAGTCAGACCTCTATCACTTACCAAAAATCGACATATGACTTTCCAGACAACCCGATATCATTTCAAATAAATCGGTATCATTTTTGATTTCAAGTAACCGTACCCGAAATAAATAATTTCGTCCAGTCATTCCTTATTTTCATTTCGATTAAAATTTGCCAAGGACTGTCCGCAGGTCTACAGCAACGGCGCGCGCGAATTCGCCGAAGGTTACGCGTACCCTATATTTCTAGGTTCCGAGAAACTCGCGTCTAACTGGTTCTTCTTTTGATTGCAGGTTGCAAAATCAAGGCTCTGCGAGCAAAGACCAACACTTACATCAAGACGCCGGTGCGCGGCGAGGAGCCTGTGTTCGTGGTAACAGGCCGCAAGGAGGACGTGGCCCGCGCGAAACGCGAGATCCTCTCAGCCGCTGAGCACTTCTCTCAGATCCGCGCGTCGCGCAAGAGCTCGCTGGGGGCGCTGCTGGGCGCGCCTCCGGGTCCCCCAGCTTCCGTTCCGGGTCACGTGACGATTCAGGTACGAGTCCCGTACAGAGTGGTCGGTCTGGTCGTAGGTCCCAAAGGGGCCACCATCAAGAGAATCCAGCATCAGACGCACACCTACATAGTGACGCCCAGTCGGGACAAGGAGCCCGTGTTCGAGGTTACGGGCCTGCCGGAGAGCGTGGAGGCGGCAAGACGCGAGATCGAGGCCCACATCGCTCTGAGAACCGGCACAGGGCCCAGCGCGGACGAGTCCGAGTTGCTCAGCGCGTTGTACCGCGGTGGATTGAGCTCGATCCTTGGTTGCATCGATCCGCCATTCTCGAACGGCTCGAACGGCTCGAACGGATCGAGCGGAGCGTTCTCCAGCAGCGGAAGTTGCAGCAGCTCGTCGAGCAGTTCCGGAGCGGCCGGTCTGAACGAGATCGTGGCGATCTGGGGCGCCGGAATGGAAAGGGACGAGGGTCTTGGCGAATCGCCGTCGTTCGAGTCGCAGGCAGCGTCGGCGTCCTCGATCTGGTCGTTCCCCGGCGTCGCGCTTCCCTCGAGGCCATCGCCACCGGCGTCAACGAGTCCAGCGTCACCCACGGACTCCCTGTTGGGCGGAGGACGACGGGAATGCGTTGTGTGCGGCGACAAGGAGGTCACCGCCGCCCTGGTACCGTGCGGACACAATCACTTCTGCCTGGACTGCGGCAACCGAGTCTGCGAGAGCTCCGATCCCAGCTGCCCGGTCTGCTCCACGCCCGTATTGCAGGCGCTTCGTATCTTCTCTTAAACACCCAACACCCGTTACGGAGAGACGAGAGATCCTGCAGAGGCTCCCTTGCGCCGTGGCGCCTGGTGCACAGCGGCTATATAATACCGATCGTCGCCATCGAGATCAGCTCTTCAACGTCGCCGGCTCATCCAGGAACGACGGCGCCGGAGATAAAGAAAACGCCCATCCCGAATTTTTCCGTATACAGCTCGCGTCCCCCGGCGCGTTTTGGCGCGCGTAATTCCACGGCGACGTCGGGGGAGCGAACGCGCACAATGTCTCAATTCCACTGCTGCCAATAACCTCTTCTTACGCGCCGGGAATGCCCCGATATTATACGGTCCTTGTCGCGTCGTTCCCGCCGACCGGATACAACGAAGTCAGCTTTTAGGTTCTACGAGATATATAGAACGAGAGAGAGAGAGAAACATAGCTCGCTCATTCATTGTCATCGTTTTCATATTTTATCCCTCGAATACGTAGAGACCGGGCTCGCAGGGTTCAACCATCGTCCGAAATGGTGTGTCGGAGCTCGTCGCGTGACGGACCGCTAACCGACCGATCATGGTACCACGGGAGAAGGACTACGTTTTACTTGGCCGTTCATGGTTGCCTTCGAGACCGCCCCGTGGAAAATGTTCGACCAGAGGCGACTGTTCGTCGAAGGATTGGATCAAGTTTGGGGCTATATCGATCGCGATATGACGTTTCGTAACATTCCATTCGTTGGTTGCATTCGCGATATATTTTCGTATTTTATGCTGACAAATTCCTTTCTCGTCGAAGGCAGCCCGATTAGTGAAACGGACGAATTTATCGAATTTTTCACGACGAACTTGTTTAGCCAACGCTCTCGTTCCTTGTATTTGTTTCATTTATATACTATTGACAATCCGTAAGATTTTAAGCTATCGTAATGTTTTCAGTATCTTTGAATTCTGTCCTTCTCGCCGCGCCGTATCGACGTCGTGCTGCAATCGATAGTCGTAATTTTCGATTACGCCCAGTACTCCATGCAACATTATGAAATACTATATCAAAGGTGCTTAGAAACACTGATAAATGAAATTTCTACGAGCTCTATATTTTTATTTAGAAAGAAAAAAAAAAAACGTACCAATCATCGTAACGTCCCATTTATCGCGCTGAACGATTAATGAAAATTACGATTTTTACGATGAGCGCACGATAGAGACGAGTCGATTCGCTCTCTCGATCGCTAGGCTCTCGCGCGGTTCCCGCGACCACGTGACCGTTGACGGAAAGATGACGACGTGTGAACAGCTGATCCGCATCGAGTGACGCCGAGAAGATTCGAAAGACGAGGGAAAACCGGCGACTATTCTCAACATTCGCGAGAAAATAAGACCCTGAGGATCGGCAGTAAGATCGCTCGATACATTTTTCCTATTTACAGTCTTCGCGGCTGAACTCGTTTCTAGGTTAGGTCACGTGATCGTGGAACGCGTTCGGTGATAATCAATCAAACAATTTCGAACCTGGAAAGCAGTACAGGTGACGAAAGCGAAACGGAGGAATGTCGAGTGTGCATCCGTCGACGTAGCCTCGGTTACATCTCCGCCAATGTCAGAGCGAAACGAGATAATTTTTTGCGTTGATCGTCTTGGACCAGCGTCGGAAGGTCTGCGATTCTCTGGTTACTTTTTTACCTCGCATGGAAAATGAGAATATCCCACGTGGGAAGCGACACCGTCGACGGATGCAACGGATATCAAGGACTTCCGAGACCTGCGAGCTTGTCGCGCATAACCGCAGCGAACGATTACCGAAATAATTAATTATACCCACACGGACGCAACTTACGAACACGTTCTCACACACCCATACATATGCATTTTTACACACGCCACAGGCGGACAGCCGATCTCATCGTACAGCCACACTTCACACGAGAGAAGAGAATAAAAGTAAAAAAAAAAAAAAATAAAAAAAAAGTAACACGGGCGAGAGAGGTCACGTGTTCCTCGATCCGCCGCGAAAACCACTTAGACGATAGTATTATAAAAGAAGATGAAAAAAAAAAGAACAACGGCGTGCCCGTTCCACCCAGCCTCCCTCGCTACTAGAGTATTATCTTACCTTTATATAAGCGACATAGCAATTGAAATAATAATAATATTAATAATATATATATATTATATATATAAATATAAACATAAATAAATAAATAAATAAATAAATATATATATATATTATATATGGTGTCAGGAAAAAGTCTGACGACGAGTAAGATGGATATGATATTTTATCGAGGAGATTTAGATTTTGTATTTTTCGCGCGTTTCGTCGACGGGACGACGGGTGGTCGGGGACGGCTGCGCGCTCACACATACACACACAGATACACACGCACGCGAACACGTACGTACACACACGAACACGAACAAAGGCAAACACACGCCCGGAGACAAATGAAATTATTATAAGAATTATATATTAAAAAGAGAAAAAAAAAACGAAGAGAAAAAACAGAAAAAAAAAACGGCGCTTAAAAAGGGAAACAAAACGTTTTTTGAAGACGGCGCATCGCGGGAACGCGTGAACCGGCCTCCCAAACCCGGCTGAAAGAACGAGAACAAGGGATAGAGAACAGAGCTGGGTCGGCCGTGTATATCCCGCACCCGCGATCGGGCACGGCCGACTATCTCCCGTGAAGTGTTGTATATTCTTCGAGCTCTAGTAATAGTCGAGTGACGGAAAGATGAAAAAAAAGAAAAAAGAAAGAAACAAAGCTCTTTCAAAGAAGGACTAAAACGATGTATCATTCACGTAGGGATCGACGACCCGTACATTTAGCTTTTCTTTGAAGAGTCGTAATTATATTCTATTATATTGCATTATTAATATCTCGCATAGATATATTGTATGTCGGACGCTATATACGTGTCACCCCTACCGCGCCCTCTCGACAAACGGACGTCGCGCGTCGGTGGAGGAAGGACGACCATGGTGTTTGATTTCTTTTTTTTTTTTATTTTTAAATTTCTTTTTGTCCCTTCGCGTTCGGTGTCCCCTTTCCTCTCGTCCTTCCTCGCGGACACGTCCTATCCGGACGAGACTCGTGAATTTCGAGACACCGGTGTCGTTCGTTTCATACCATGATACTCGTCCCGCAACTCGAACGAGAGGGTGGCTTGGTACGTGTCTCTATGTTCTTCTGTGTTCCGTTTACCGTTTTATTTTTATTTCTTTTTTTCTTGTTCTTTTCTTTAAAAAAAAAAAAAGAAAAAAAAAGAAAGGAAAGAAACAAATCGCAAACTTCTCGTTACCGAAAGGGAGAGAAAGCTGGATGCAAACGATCCTCGTCGCCCTCGAGCGCAACGACCAACGCGATTAGGGGCTCGTTTGGTTGTGTTTGGATCCTAAAGGAATGGAAAAAGCCGAGGAAGGAAACTACACTAGTAGCCGTTAAGCAGGAGCCGAATGGACCGTCCACGTTCCACGGTCCCTGGAAGCTCATTTTTTTTTTTTTTTTTATATTTATGCTAACTTCGATTTTCGAGTTCGGTTTCCTATATATATATATATATTTTTTTTTTTATATACATATATATGTACGTATTTTACTCGCCCTCTATTTTTCTTCGTATTTCTTCTAACTAACTTCCTCCTCTTTGTTTCGTTTCTTTGAATCGTCGAAACTTCTTGTCAATCGTTGCCATTTTTAAACGAAGATATGCTCAAGTCGCAGCTCCGAACAAGTCGAGGTGTATTATTAATACATATTATACATGAATATATATATATATATAATATATATATACATATATATATATTATAAGCGTCGTCTAGCGTTGACGGTGATGATGGGTAAAGAAAGATATTTTTTCGATCGTTCGAGCCGCAGCTCTGTATAACAGGTGTCTCGGTAGTTTCTCAGCCAGGCTCACCCCCTTCGTTCGTATATATTTTTTAACGATATTTTTATTTTGTTCATATATATATATATATTTTTATTTTTAATTATTTCGTTTTAGGTGTCTCTTCGTTCGCCGTGTGTTTCGTTTCGAACGTTTCCGATCCCCCTCGCTCCACCCCAGGCCCCGTGACGATCCCTCCCCCACGGCAACCCTCGTTCCCCCCTCGTGTCGTTCTCTTCGTTCGGAAAAGAGAAAATGAAAATGAAAAAGAAAAAAAAAGTGAAAACTCTTCCTTCTTGTCGTAAACGCGCTCTTACGGAGCAAAGACTAACCTAACCGATCAACCAGGACTGGTATTACACACACGACTCGTCGTTGATACACGTACACGGACAGACGGACAGTCTCTCGCAACGCATGCATACGTTTAATTTTCACTGATAGCGCGCGTGCGCACGCGGGCTAGAAAATGAATGGAAAAACATGATATAAACCACACGCTCACACCCAAACGTCACACATATGCATGAGAATCGCGCTACGATTGCGCACGAGTGTATATTAATATATATATATAATATATTATTTGTTACTATATTGAAGCATCACTCATCTCGGACACACGTACACGCACACAGAACACATACTTGCACACACACGTGCGAATACGTAATATTTATGCGAAGGTACGCAAAACATACACACGCACACACGTACATGCATATTATACGCGGGCTCAAACATTGAAAGCAGACACGCGCGAACGCAATCCAACGTGTACGACGTACACATACACGCATACATGTACACGCAAATCGCGCACGTATAATTCACACGCACCCGGACAAACACCTTCATACATACACTTACACAAACAAATAAAAAAAAAAATCATATATATATATATATAATCGACGCTCGAGAGAGAAAGAGAGAGAGGTTTATTATATTTAAGTTCGAGGCAAAGTAAATTCTATATTTTTTCTATGTTAAGTATAAATTAGAGAGAGAGAAAAAAAAGATGCGTAAAAGGTACGGTGATGACATAAACATATATATTATATTATATTATATTATTATATTATATTATATATATTATTATATTATTATTATATTATATTATTATATTATATTATATTCTATATATATATATACATATAAACTATATTTATAGGTATTCTCTTTAGCATCTACGTTCCGATATACGATGATGCCGCCGCGCGGATTATAATTAAACAGAACAACAACAATAACAGCAACAACAACAGAAAAATGAAACAAAAAAAAGAGGAAGATAGAGAGACAAGCAAAGAAAACCGAGAAAAACGCGAATCGGCGCGTATAAGTCTGATCTGATTCTCGCCATTCGAGATCAGGGGTGGGACGACCGAGACGGGGTTGGAGGGGAAATCAAGAAATTAGGAGGCGAAGAGGGGAGTTTTCGCTCTCGTTGCGTTTTTTTTTTTCTTCAATTTTTTGACGGAATTAATCGGAAAGGAAACGTCACGCGCGACACACGGGTTGCAGGCTGGCGGTGAAACGAACTTAGGTTCGACTTAAAAGGGTCCTTATAATTCGGTTCGAGATTCGTCCAAGACTTACCCACGGGTTTGCTCTATCGTCTCTTTCATCGAGACGATCGGAGGGAGAGACGGTTGGCCAAACTCGTGGATTAATTTCTGATAATCCTCTACTATGGGGCTACTTAACTCTTTGCGGTACAAGAGACAGAGTTGTTTCGTGACCTTTCGCGCCCGAAGACGATCGAAAGAAACGAAAGTGACGAGACACGCGACTGCGTGCTCTTGCTAAGTGGTCGCTGACAACTACGCTCGAATGGACATCTTCTAGGTGGCGAAGAGAGCCAGCCACCGCGCTGCAAAGAGTTAATCATCGCACGCGGGACACAGACAGAAAGTAAAACGCTGAGGGGTGTCTTCACGCTCGCGTCCACGCGCGAAAGTGTCTTTCCGCGGGGTCGTGAACGTAGAAAACGAAAACGGGACGAGGTTTCCCCTGGCGAGATGGGGAACAGGTGTGGAGAAATCGAAATGGAAGGAAAGGAGTTGGGTTGAGATTGCCAGAACTCGGAGCGCGTCTCGGGAATCGAACAAAACGCCTAGGGGTGTGTGTGTGTGTGTGAATGAAGAACGGAGAAAGTGCAACCGCGAACTTTGGAAGCGTTTAGAATCTGGCAAGTGAAAGAATGGTCTTGGCAGAGGAAAACAGACCCCGGCCACCGGATGTTAAGCTACTCTCATCGAATGCTATCGTAGTCTGACGTTTGGTGTGCTTTCTCTGAAATCTCTGAAATTTCTTCAGGAACGCACGAGACCGGGTAACATTCAGGGTCGAAGTTCCACTTGTCAAACGCTGCATACCGAATCTCAAACGTAAATTTCTCAAGTAAACTGGAGACAGGAGCATCAAAGCTACCTGGCCAGGTGGAAAAGTTCTCCCGAGTCGATTCTTTGACTTGCCAAATCCTCAGCTTCTCGACTAATATCCATTAGCCGCGGCTACCTTCGAAGCTGCCTTCGAGAGGGGCGTTCGAAGCTCGATGAATTCGAAACTCGCGTCACTGGAGCGTCTGCCGGACGCTTTGGATTATCCTTACTTAAGACTACTCGCGGTATCGACGAACAGCTCGCGGATAAGCTCGCGAACAGCCTTCTCGATCGCGCGCGCAGATCGTTCAACGTTACGCGATCTTCCCTTCCACCGGATACGCAATTCCGGAAGACGATACTCCTGGCGGTCCCTGACAGAGACAGGCAAACTTCTTATCTAGATAAAAATGTCAAGTAACGAACAAAATACGGAAGAATTGTATCGGATTCAGGAACAAAGAAACGTCTTATTTTGGACTTCGGAACAAATCAGGCAAGAGAATTGGATAATTACATTTATCTTACCTGATCACTCTGAAGACCAACGAGGAGCTTGACCCTGGTGGTATATTCTGAGCAAAGTAGAAACAAGGAAGACCATATTCTTCTCTGTTCGCGCAGGGTATTGAAGAATAAAGTACGCGTTTTTGTGGTCTCGAGGGATCGTCAAAGATCGCGTTTACCTTATTGTTCAAACTGATACCAAATTTCGAGATGATTCTATTCGTTACTTGTTCGATGAAAATGGCAATCTGAACTCCGAAATGAGATTATATTTATAGAAACTTACTCGAATAGCTCGGTAGATCGTTGCGAATAAGTTGCTGCAAGGTGCACCTATTCGCGAGTCTTTTGCGTTAAAGTTTGCTCGTCTCTGGCTACCTGTTTCGGCGGCGAGGAGGCAGGCGTGGGAACGCGGCAAGCTTTGTCGAGAACCTCCGCTAGACTTTGGGACGACTCTGCTAGATAACCACTTAACCGATTTACGCAGCCTTCACTTTGGCCGAGGTTCCGACAATCTAATCGCGACAGAGTCATCCTCGTCGCTGGGTCTCCTTTATCCTCGTCAACGTCGTCGCTATCCTCGTTGTTTCCTCGGTTCCCATCGTTCTGGTCGCGACGAACACGGAGCACGGGTCCAGTCACGTAAACCACCTATCGAAAGTACCGGGAACAGTCGCGACAACCGTGAACCCTGTTCTTCCGTTGCACAGGATCACGCGCTAGGTCGTCATATCGCGTAATCATCATTCGCATCGTCGTTCTTCGAGCGTGCTCGTCGTTGGCTCGCTATCGACGCGACGCGAGTAGCATTTCGAGGTTGAACCGGAAGGAAGACGAGATTTGCAGTGCCATACGTAAATCAAAATGTCTATACTCGTTTATCGACGAACATCGATTTCTAGTTTACGTTGCCCGTTTATGTAGTTTGTATCATCAGTTGTTCGCGTTTCGAATACCTCGTTCCAGCGTTGGGCAGAACGTGACGCATTCTGGGAAGTGACAAGGATCCGAAGTTGTCCTGATCCATGGGAGAAGGTTGAAAGCCACGGTGGTGTACGTTTTCCTCGCTTTAATCCTTTGCGATCCTATGTCGAGCGAGACTCGACAAAATTGTACTGGAATCAGAAAATTCGGAGTGCAAAGGGTTAAGGAATGTTTCCAATGAATTTTCATGTATGGGTCGCGTAAATGTGCACTGATAAATATTTTAAGCAATTTGACCTGCGCCACTGTGGTTTGTGACTTTTCGCGCATGGGACAAGGACTTTCTAGTAAATTTAGGAACACGGTAACGATTAACAAAATTATTAGACGCTAGCTCTGGAAGATTAGAAATTAAAAACATAAGACTCGTTAAAGCGATCGAAAGTACTGCCCAACCCTGAAGCCGCAGCTTCCTGTATCGATGATCTAGAGTCTACAGTCCAGACGAAATGTTTGGTATCGTCGCTGGTAGCATAATTTCCTGCCGCGAGACGCGAGCCACCGATGTTGTCTGACCATTCGGCCCCTTTTTCACTTAACGCTGAGACCGATTCAGTGGTAGCGGTCGACGATGTGTCAGACACAGACTAGCACTCAAAACTTGCGGCGTTGTTCTTTTTCTCTCCAAGTGTCTTTCCACTCGATTTTTTATTTTTCATTTTAAGTTGTTTATGCGCTTTTTCGAGAGAGTTATTATATAAGTAAATTATGTAAATGGTAAATATATATATATATATATATTTTTATGAAATATCTCACCGTAGCGTACCGCATTATTGTATTGTTATTTAATCTATTTTCGTTGTTTTATATATATATATATCTCTCTATACGAACGAAGTCTTATTTTTTTATCGAGCAACACGCATAACGAAAGAAACAAAAATTATGATGAATTATATTAAAAGTATATTGGAAAATTAATTATTGTTTTTATTAATTGTTTCTCGCCAGAGTAAGCCCGAAAAGATACTCGGTTGCAATTTTAACCTTGTTTTTTCTCTCTCTTTCGCGTTTTCTTGCACGGCATCGTCTCTCGTAATAACGATAATATCGTCGCACGGTCGCTGAAGACTCGTAAACGAAACCGATATTAAAGCCACAGACGGCGTAGCGTTCGCGTCGCGTCGAGAACGATTCAATTTCATTCGGTGCCGATATTTTACGATCACCGCGGAACCGACCGCGTCGAATGTGGTTCCATATATCGGTACGATGCGACATGGTCTGACACATTTCGACAAATCACACAGAACACACGTCGGTGGACCGTTTCCACGCTTTGGACTTCCAGTTGTTGATCCACGATACCTTGCGAGGGCGTACTGGCGACTTTTAACGGCGCAGAGTAGTGCTCATTGGCTGTCTGCTGTCTAACGTGACCCAAGAAAAAGAGTCTCTGTAAAGTTCACCGAGGAAAGTGGAATTTTAACAGCTTGAATATCGACCAATTCGTGGCCGTATAAGTACCCAAGAAATAAATTAATAACATAAATTTCACGCGGTAGGAGACGAACTCGACCGAGCAGAGTTCGATAATCCCTAATTCGCCCGTGCGCCCCTAGCTTAAATCGATACGGGAATCGCGGCGGTCCTACCCCTCAAATGCAACGAACACTCGTGTATTTTCCTCCATTTCCAAACCCTCCCTTCCTCCAACTACCCGAGTGAATACTTTCGCCACGACGAGCGAGCGAGCATGCGTGCTGTGTTATCTTCGTAGCGCGTTCGTCTTAGGAGGCATTTTTACCACTAAATAACGTAATGGATAGAGCGTCTTAAGGTTAACTTAATCGTAATCGTATTAAAGCGTAATGTTTAATGATTATTAATAGCCATTGGCTGTGACCGATAACTGCCATTTTCGTAGAAAAAAAAAAGAAAAAAAAGAGGACACGTTCCGAGCGACGGGACAAGAACGATTCGATAGGTGCGTGTTTAGACATACACATACAAAAAAAAAAGACACATTCTCACGTATACTGACACGCGAGACGATCCAAGCTAAGGGAAGCTCGCGACGTGAAGAACGAGTCAGGGTGGCGCGTATCGAGGACGATCTGACGACGGTGGACGACTGGGATGGGCGAAGCGGTTGTACGGATAAAAATTTTTTTAACGACGCGTAAGAGATAAACTATATAACATTTTTATCCTTTATTCGACGATACCAAACTCCGAGTCGAGGGAAAAAATTCATAGCGGTGCGTGAGTCATCTTCTTCTCTCATCTTGAGGAAGCTTCTCTCTCTCTCTCTCTCTCTCTCTCTCTCTCTCTCTCTCTCTAACTTGCACAAGTCCATATTTCAACAATAAGCTTTGACATCGCTATGACTTTCGGCCCTTCGATTATATTTTCAATGAAATCACACGTTGGACGAAGGAAAATTTATGCGAGTAACTGTCCAATCGAGTAAACGTTGCGAATGAATACTGGGTTTTTATTCGAAGCGGATTTTGCCCGTCTCTGACGCGAGGTAGGATTTAGGGATCGACGTGGATCGAGGTGGATCACGAATTCGAGGGTGGCGAGAGACGCTGGCTACTCCCGCGAATAAGACGGACGGTAATTACGTAGATGATTGACGACCTCGTCGATTTCGATGATCTTGAAATTTGTTGTCAAGGTCACTATTCTGATCAATTTTTCTTTATACGTGTTATCGCCGCTCGGCCTTGACTTCGATAAAACAAAATTTATCTCATATTGAATTGTACTGTATTAAAAATGGGTATCGATATTAGTGTTTTTGTAAGGGGGTAAGCAAAACGAATGTTACTATTCAAAACTTGGGGGATGCTTTATTTTTATGCAGGGGAAAAAAATGTTTGAAATTATAGCTTTGAACCGACGGTAGGTAAATGAGCTTGACAACATATTTCAAGGTCATCAAAATCGGCGAGGTCGTAAGTCGTCTGCATAATTATCGGATGGACGCTCGATTTGGGCATCAACGCACGCTGAACGCTCATAGGCGTCTCCAGCAGGTTGTCGATCGCTCGACACGGTAAAGGTCGTCGAAGAGTTAAGGGCGATCGTTCGGAGGAACTTAAAACGTAAGATTGACAGGAAGGTGAGACGACGCGCGAGTAATCGAGAGCATTGCGAGGACACGTACACCCACACGACGATACATATCTCAAAGAATAATAACTAAACATTAAGGGAGATTATAGAAGTTAGTAGACGTCAGAGTAATAATGGGAATCTAAACGAGACGGGAAGAGGGGAGATGAAGTAAAAAAGAAAAAAAACCACAGAAAACGGATGGATGAATTAAGTATAGGTATATGGAAACGTATAAATATATATATATATATAGATGAATATATATATTATAGAAAAGAAAAGAGAGAGAAATAGATGATCGTTGTTGCTTGATTTGTCTCTATTTACTATATGATTATATTCTATTAAATAGCTATATTATTCGCTATTATTAATTATCATTATTATTGGAATTATTATCATTATTGGTCTATATATGATATATGTATATGTATATTTCTGCTGCGCGCAGAAAGCGTGCTCCTTTCGGCACGTTTCTTCTTTGTCGGTTGAACAAACCTTTGTGGATTTCCTGCACGGAAATTCGAACTTTGTCGCTGCACGTTTCGGTTCATCCTTTATAGTTTACACTTCTCTTATTTTCCTGTATACTTTTCGTTCGCGCCACATTTAATTTGGCAGCCCCCGTGCGAGCTGTCGACGATGGATAGTGATTGGATACGAGTGAGACCGTTCGAATATATCTAATATATATATATATTAATTATTATCCAGAATATATATATATATATTATATACATATTATATTAATATAAATATTGTACTACGCGCGAAGAGCCACAACGCGTTCGGGGCCGCTGCTCATATTGTATTACTGTATATTAATCGATTAATAGCCCCCCCCCCCCTCAACACACACACAGCCTCGAACGTGTCGCATAATTACTTACTCGCGACTACTTATCTATCTACTTAATTACCTTAAAGAAAGAACGAGGAAGCGTAGCTGCACGCGCGTCGTCATCTGTCGAGGGTCACAGGTGTTGATCATTGTCAAAGATGGCCAGAATTTTTATCTGGATAAAAATTTACAATTTCAATTAACACGATACAAGCAACTCGGTATTTTTCAATTCGACAGAAGAGTTATGTTCGAGAAATTCAAAAATTGTTTTTGTATACAAGTTTGAGCAAAGGAATATTGCCGAGTTCTGTTTAATTTAGTAACTTTGTGAACGGAAATGAGAAACACTTTTAACAATCTGTAGAGATTATAAAATCGAGTTCTCTTCGTAAGAGACCCTTGAGTGCACTTCAATTAGGTTTCAATAATTACTCCTTGATTGAAAAGATAAACATCCATGGCCTCGAGGAACAAAATAAATTTAATTTTCATATTGACCAACGTGAATAGATTGTCAAATTAAACGAATGAGAGCTTAAAAAAAATAAAACGAACGAAATAAAAATTCTGTCTAATTTTGGCAATAGTCAACGGGATGGAGTATCGACGCGGCTACGTTCAGCTGTCAGCCCACAATTTCGATCTCAAAACAGAACAAAATCGAGCCTCCTTCGCTCAGGATGCGAATTCTCTCGAGTTTCAGTTTGTCGACGAGCGTCGGATCGATCGATCTCGCGTAACGTCGATCCTCGGTTCCTTTTTAATTATTATCTCTTGTGTTCCTACGCCTATGTCGCGATTTTGACGTTCGATGCCCCCACCCCCCTCCCCCAAGAGAGCTCGATTTTTCGGTTTTCGTTCGCACTCCCCCCCTTGTCGTTGCGCCGTTCTCCTAATCTCGCGAGGGGAAGAAAAAAGAAAAAAGAAAAAAAAAAAGAAGAAAAGAAGCATCCTTTCGTTTTCGTTTCACGTATAAATATATTTTTCGAGGGAATTTTTGTCGCGTTCAGCGGGCGTCGATTTCAAGGGAGGGATGAAAAAACGAGCGCTACCGTTTCGCGAAAGGAGAAAGCGGACGTTAACGAGTGTCCTTTTTCCCTTTCGTTCGCCCACGGAGGACGAAGCATTTTTCTAGGCAATAGGGGTGTGCGTGTGCGAGTATGCTTGTGTGTGCGTGCGAGCCCTCGAGAGACGATTTTCTCGCCGAGACGCGATCCGAGCGAGGCAACCGCACCGGAGACTAGAGAATCAGTATTTCAAAAAAAAAAAAAAAATCTCTCTATATATATATATATAAAGAAATAAATGTAAATGTATATTATTATATTAATATTATAATTACTATTACTGTCGTGTAACGCTGATGGTCGAAGGAGTACATTTCCTCCGTGGAAAGTGAAACGGGGGTGGAGATCGGGGAAAGGTTGAGGGTTGCGAACAAGCGCTGCTTGTGCAGAGTGCAACGACATTTCCGACTGACAG